GCTCCGCGCCGGTCGCGTCGGGTGTTTGTGTAAGGATCCCCCTTTTAAGCCGTTCGCAGGCGTGTCACGGTGCTTAAATCTCTTCGTCTGTCCTCTTTCCCGTGCGGCTCGTTATGAAGGGGTACCTCTGGGGTTCTGCTAAACACGAGCGTTACTTCCACAGTAGGTAGCTGGAGGCTACGAGCAGCCGCTTACATCTTTTACATGTAAAGTGTCTTTCTGGCAAAATTAGCATACCTCTCTCAGTGTACTTTTCGCGTGTTATGTTGCAGTAACAATCTGTATCAAATTTGGTTCTGGCAGCTTGTTTTGGCTCTGCTAGCTTCGTAACTCAGGTCGCGCAGTGATTGCCATTATGATCCCTGTCTCAGATGTGTACGTTTCTCTGTGTGTGACTTCAATTTTGGCGTTTCTCAGCACTTCCTTATTTCTTTTAACTCTTGTCTTTTAATGTTTCTTTGTCGCATAAGTTTGTACGTGGCCTTTTATGTCACTACTGCTTCCAATTTCTTGTCAACATGTTTTCTCTCAGATGTGGCAAAGCAAGCCTTGAGAAATGATTCAGAGAGTTGTATGCAACTCGCTTGGATACTCTTTTTTTTTTTTTTTTTAAGCTAAGCAGGGCTTGTGTTGGTTTCTGTCCTTTCTTTGGCGCAGGCAGGTTTTACTCCTAAGTGACTTATTTCAGGGACCTGACTCTGGCAGATCTTTAGTTCAGTGTTCTGAAGTGACTCCTTAAGGGGTTCAGGTAAGCGGAAGGATGAGTGAAGCAGACAGACAGGGTGAAAGGAGGAAATGGACAGCTGTAAGTTCGATTGATTTAAGGTGGAATGAAACCGGTGCCTTTGACAAAAGGTTGTAAATGGAATATTAATTAGGAAGCTTAAAGAAAGCTAGACAAAAACTAAACAAGATAATACCACGGGTATACCAGAAGGTAGTAAAAGACAGTTAGGAAGATGTGAATATAAACAAGATGTGCATAGTTCTGAAGTTTCACATATGAAAGCAAAAAAACCTAAATCTCTAGACATTATGAATGAGGAGTGGTCAATCAAAACAAAAGCATGAGTTTATGGGCAGTAGAGGGAAGCTTTGTTGTGAGATAGGCAACCCAAGGCTCATGAGGGATAATAAGGAATACTTATGAACTCTCATGATCTCAGTGTTGACCATACCAATTTTCTTCAACCTGTTTTCTTTATGTGGAGGATAAAATTTCAGGTAGTGAAGTAAAAGACTTGTAGAGGGGTGAAGTGGGGTGTGGAATTCGTCTTGCAGTGGGTGAGAGTGAGTTTGCAGGGATGGTGGAGAAAAAGAAGCGTAAAGAAGCTGTGTGCTCTTTCCACACTACCCACTTAATACACCTGACTTGGACTACTTGGGTAACCTACAGAACAGGGATGCTTATTGCATAGGGTACAGGGAATTATGAAAGGGACTTAGGTAGCACGCAGTCTGTAGAATAGCTTTGTAAGTGTGGGTTTTTTGTGGGTTTTTTTTTTTTTCAGCAAGAGGATGTCCTCACTCTGTGGAGTGTTAGGCAGTTTACATTTTGCCTCTGTGAAATAAGGCAGTGTCCTGGGCACAGACAGAGAGACAGTGTAGCTGTACTCTTAACAAGTAGTTAACCTTGGGACAATGTTAAGCTGTTTTTTTTGTGTGTGTTGATGTTATGCTTCGGTTTGTAAACACTGATACCATAAATATATGTATGGCATACAATCACTTGCTGAGGGGCAAAAAGATTTGGGGACAGGGTTTAACAAGGAAGTAGCATTATGCTTATATTCTTCCCTGGACACTTGCTGCTATGGAGAGCATAGTTGCTGGGCTTAACAAACTTTCTTAAATTGATTTAATTTTTCTATTGGTTGGCTTGCTTTTTTGCTACACAAAATGTTAATCTAACTTGTATTCACTTTCCTTTTCTTGCTGAGTATTTCTGAGTAGCTGGTGCCTTTTAGGGAACTCTTTTCACCTCATCTTCCATTGCTTTACACTCCACCTGTTAATGTCAACTGTAAAGTTCAGCTTCTTTCATGCTATTTCTTTTTCCCCTCTCAGCCCTCTTGGTAGAATCTGTTTCCTATTGTTATGTGCTGAGTCATGGCTTGTAATTCCTCATTAAGGCACAGTGACTGATAAAATTTTAGGTGGACAGATAAGGTACATTCAATGGAGCGTTGTTGGTTGTGTATGTACAGACTTTGTTCAACCCCACCCTGTCCTTTCCCTGTGGCTGTTGTCATTTCTTGTTATGTTTCACGATAGATAATTGTGCTTCTTGCAATGTTGCTTATTTTGTGAAGCACCTGTTAGAATTACTATTTATTAAAATTACATTGTACCTTTATGAGAAGATGTTTTAGCAGTAGCAGTTGGTTTGGTTTGACTTGCTTTTCATCATTGAGTTAAAAAAAAAAAAGCTTGAAAATTATTTTATTTGTGATGATGATCAGCTGTCCTGTGACCAAAGTGCTGAAGAACTTGTTCATCTCTTGTTGCTGCAATAGCTGTCGGTTGGAATCAGTAACATTGTATGGTCTGGCAAAAACATGGTTAAATGCATCTGGCTTTGCCTTTTAATTTGAAATCATCACAGATACTGGTGCTCCTCTACTTTATGCAGGTAGATTATTTTTCATCTGCTCAATTCTCTGATTTATTTGTTTTACGAAGTCAGAGCTAACATGGAAGTATGTTTTTTAAACTTCAGACTAAAATGTATAAACAACAGAATAATTTTCAGTTATAGACGAGTACACTATTTGATTTATTTTTTCAAATGGCTGTAGGCAAACCATGGTATTAAAGGCAGGATTGGAGATTTTTCTATAAATACACTATAAAATATTTTTAATTGTATAAAAGTTCTTTGGTTCTTGAATTTTAATGTGAAAGGTACTAAAACATACCTTCTGTCTGTAATAAATCCATTACTTCAGGATTTTTCTGTTCACACAAGGGAATTGATTCTACCCCCCTCAGAATTACAAGACTTGAAAAGGAAATCCTAGCTGAACTCTGAGTTTCACGGTAGCGTTACGAGTGGTGGGCAGTATGCCAAGCAACAGTTCGTGTTGGCAGAAGCAGCCCTATCGGTTACTTGCACTAACTGACCATGAACCTGTCTGGATTGCTGCTGTTAGGAACCGAACCTTAGACCTTTGCAGCTGAAACTCTGAGTTTCTTGTGTCTGACTGAAAGACTCTGGTTTGTTGATTCTCATTGCACAAACTCACGTGCGTGTGTGGACCTGCCGTTCAGCTAGGAGGCGAAGAGCCGTGTAGCGTAGGTGTTGTACGTTGTCTTCCTGGCTGGGGAACGACTTTAAAGCTACCCAAGCTCACTACAGCGTAAATCTGTGTTCTGGCCACCTGTTGCAGTGTAACTTGTCTACTTCATACAAGTCACCTTGGATTACATTTTCGTTCTTTGTTTTTTGGGCTTTGATCACCGAATAATTCACTTTGATTGGAGGCATATTGGAAAATGTCTGATTCTGTTAATCTCGGGTTTGGCTTGCAGTTGATTTATTATTGGAGCAGTTCTTGACTTTTCTGTGAGTGGAGACTGGCATTTGAAGGCACTAATTTCAAAAACTAGAAAATTATATAGTTTGAGTGCCTGCGCGCTGTGTTTCCCAAGTAAATTTTTACTACCGTGTAACTGTTGTGCAGTAGATGTTTTACCAGGTTAACATGCTTTAACAGTTTCCTTAACTGAACGTGAATTTCTATGAACAGAGTAACAGTGTTGGTTTCTGTAATGGAAGTTCTTCCTTAGCAAGCCTCTTCAAAAGGAGTGTTTGTTACCTTCTGGGAAGTGAAACGAATGCCCTTTTTATGGCTGCTATGGGTTTGGGATTTGGAGGTTTCGTTCTGTTTTTTTCCAGCTGTTTAAACCTGGTTTTATTGGTTGCTTGATATTTTTCCGTTCGGTGTGTTTGAGTTTTATTTTTTAGGTTTTTGGTCGAGTGGTGGTGGTGTTTTGGGTTTTTTTGAGGGGCTGTACGTTTTTAAACAATGAGAATTTGAGGCCTTGGTAGTATTTATCCTTATTTGTTGAGATGTGATAAAAACACTGTTCTAATGTTTTACCACCGTCATTGTAAAAATTTTCTCCCTTATCTACCTTCTCTTAGTTTAAAAACATTGCTTCTTGTCCTGTTGCTACAGGTCTTATTAAAAAGTCTGTCCCCATCTTATAAGCTCCCTCTAAGTATTGAAAGGCTACAATAACATCTCCCCGAAGCCTTTTCTTCTCCAGGCTAAACAACCCCAGCTCTCTCAGCTCCCAGGAGAGATGTTCCATCCTTCCGAATTCATACTGCCCTTCGAGCAAATACTACTGTATATGGCGTATAGTTTATTTGCTGAATAAACTCATATGACACCTACTAGATGAAGCATGTTATTACAAGGAGATAACGTGGAGTATTTTTGCTAGATGTTAAAAAAAATAAATTATATTAATCATACTCTTGGTAATAGTGTAGAAGGTTTGTCTAGGTGAAAGGAACTTTTAGGTAGGTTAGTGGTTTCTTTTTTGATGTTGTTTAGTTGACTGCAACTACTGCAAAGTCAATCGGGGCTAGTTTTCATTTAATTTAAGAAAGCTTTAAATTTGTGCTTGTAAACTCTTCTTAGCTAGTCAGCTCTCTTTCTCCTCACCCTGGTAAAAATAGTATCATAAAATGGTTAGGGTTGGAAGGGACCTCAAAGATCATCTAGTTCCAACCCCCGTGCCATGGGCAGGGACACCCTCCACTACACCAGGTTGACCAAAGTCTCATCCAGCCTGGCCTTGAACACTTCCAGGGATGGGGCACCCACAACTTCTGTGGGCAACCTGTTCCTGTGCCTCACCACGCTCTGAGTGAAAAATTTCTTCCTTAGATCTAATCTAAATCTCCCCTCTTTCAATTTAAATCCATTGCCCCTTGTTCTATCACTACATACCCTTGTAAAAAGTCCCTCTCCAGCTTTCTTGTAGGTCCCCTTTAGGTACTGGAAGGCTGCTAGAAGGTCTCCCCAGAGCCTTCTCTCCTCCAGGCTGAACAGCCCCAACTCTCTCAGCCTGTCTTCATAGCAGAGGTGCTCCAGCCCTCGGATCATCTTCGTGGCCCTCCTCTGGACTCGCTTCAGCAGCTCCATATTCTTCTTATGTTGGGGCGTACTTCTTATACAGTATTAAGTATACATAGCCATAGCTCCTAACACTTCAAATTGATTAAAACATGAAGCAGAATCCTTGAAACAGGAAAAATAAGATGATGGTAACGTGTTTAGGTTTAAGCTCATTTAAGAGACTCAAGCTTATGAGTGCATATACTTCAGCACCTTTCATTTTGTTAGAGTTGTGCACTCATTGCTGTGAAATTTGGCCAGAATGGTGAGATGGAAGCAATGCAACAAATCATTTGAAAACAAATAGTAGTTTTTGCAAATTTTGGCTTGGTTTTAAATTGAGGTTCCTGTGCTTTATTGATACAATATTTTTACTTGTTTCTCAGAATTCTAACATTTTTAGAAATGAGTCAGTGTATTTGTATAAACCAGAAAGATGGACACCTTGCTAGTTCATTGAAAATTTAACTAATATCAAGCTGGTTTTATATCTTTCAGTTAGCGGTTGGGTGCTTAAGAAAATTAGTCAATGTTTTTATTAAAAAAAAAGAAAAATTTTCTGGTTTGTATGTTGTTCAACTACGCTTTCAATTTTTCTGTGCTCATATCTTCAGATTACAACTGATGGTAAGCCCAAGATAATTGATATAATTGATACAACAGGCAGTGGTGATGTAACTACCTGTACCATTGTAGAACCTAAAGATGGGGAAATTCTTGGTCTTTCTGGAAGAACTTTAAAGGTGAGTAGTTGGTGGTACAGAGACACCTCTGGGCATCTTTTTCTTTCTTTCTTGTTTAACAAAAAATATAGCACCTATTTTGGTTTCTGCAGAACTTACTTCCTTTTAACCAGATCTTGTCCAAAACTAGTACTGCATTTGCTCATCTTTGTACGGATAGCTTGACATTTCTTTTACTTTTCATATGTCTTTATATTACATATTCTCTGTAGCTGAATGAGAGTGTGTACGGAGTTTTGTTGGGGGCTTGATAATCATTTAATTACTCTTTGTTCAAATTAGTATCTGGTACAGTTTTGGAAGTTGGCTGAAGAAAACGTAACATGCTTTAAAAACATCAAACAGTTCTGTCTTTAAAAGTGCTAGTATTTTCCACATTTGTGTAAACTACAAGAGGAATTGCGTTAAGCTTGTGGTAAGTAGTTCTAGAGACTGAAAAAGCTGTGAGGACTTAGTTCTCTAGGCTCACTGCATTCTTACTGTGAATAGAACAGAAATGCTGTAGGGCTTTCAGAAAGGATATGATGAGATCTAGTAGAGGTCTCAGCTACATAGAACTGCTGTTGTTACTGACATGTTCTTGGTTGGCTGGTTATATTCTTGAGGTGATATGTGGGCATCAAATCTTTGGATCTCTCTGTGCTATCAGCTTGCTTCTGAATTTTGCATAGAATATGATTGTAAGGGTGAATCTGTCACTCTCTTTTGCTATTTCTAGGAATAGTGGATATATAGTGAAAGCCTAAACTGCAGCAACATGTGAAATTAAGACATTCAGATGTTTGTCATGACCTCTAACCATAGCACCACTTCATGCTAGGGTGCTTCTTTTCATTTATAGTGCTATTATTTCCCTAGACCTGTATACAATAAAGTCACGACTGGGGCTGTATATTTAAAAGTGGATTATGGGGACAACTGATACTTAAAGATGGTCAATGGTGGTGTCACATGAGTTGATACTGATTCCTTTGAAACTGGATCAGAATTGCTGTGTCATGTTGTTGAAACTTAGGCCAGTAGTTACTGTCATGGAGACAGGGAATTAAATTGGTGATATTTTCAAGTCTGTTCTGCTAAGCTCTCTTAAACACGGTTGATTGATTTTATTATTTTCTTTATCCATTTGTTAATCTATTTCTGAATATACTTCTCTGTAGATTCCAGCAAACTGGGTAAATCCTTCAGGCAAATACCACATTGGCATAAAAAATGGCTATGATATCTATCCTAAAGCTCTTAAGGAGAGGATTCAGGTAAAAAAATTACATTTTGCTTCTGGTGTATAGTCATATTTCAATGTTCCGATACTTATGTTTTTCTAGGAAACTACAATATATGGTTTGCTAACACACATAGGCTGCTAGCCAGCACTTGAGAAGTCTGTTGATTTAAATCTTGTTGGTTTTTTTTGTGTAGTTTTGATATGACCTATTTCTTCTGTGATTTTTTTAGAACAATAGGAGGTGGCCTGGTGGTCTTCCTCACAGTCGTGCATTGAGGCAAAAAAATCTGAAATTACTGATAGCCATTTCTCTTTTCTTTGTAACAACTGATGTTTATTTATAGCATTGTATTGAACTTTTTTAGACATTATGTCTCAAATCAGAGTTTTCAAATTATTTTTGTAGTCTTCATACTTTGACATATGTATTTGTCAGTATATTGAGGATCCTGGTTTTATTTTACAGAAAGAACGCAAGGAGAAGCTCTGGGATCCTGTTCACAGACTGGCTCTAGCAGAGGCCTGTAGGAAACAAGAAGAATTTGATGCTGCTCATAGCTCTCCCTCCCAGGTTTGTATAAGTCTAAATGAATTTGTAAACTTGTTGTTGGCAATAATTTGTTACTGTTGGAGAAGATTAAAATATTTCATTAGATGAGCAAAGGAAAGATATTTGTGATTATTTTGACAGAAAACTTAATAGTTTATCTTCTGATTAATTTAAGACTATATGGATGGTTGTTTGATTTGCTTAGCGTTGTTAACTTTCTAAACTTGTTGTCAGATATGAAAAGGGTATTATTTCAATTCATATTTTTAGTAAGTTATACTTTTAATTTAATATGTTCTTTTTTGAGGCTGTTATCCTTGCTGTGTTCCCAGATGGAATCTTCTAAATGTGGTGTTTCTTTTTTAAGCTAGGTACTATTTCAATGAAGTACCAGAAATGCCACAGGTCATTTCTGTATCATTTAACAATCTGTAAAAAAAAAAAACAAAAACAAAAACAAAACAACAACCAACCAACCACACCACCACCCGCGCCCCACCCCCCCCCTCAAAAAAAAAACCAAACCAGAAAGCAGTAGTTATACTTAATAGGCCAAAAATGAATAGAAGACCATTGAACTCTAGATGTTTGACTCCTAGGATAGTCTTACCTTCTTGATGAAGTAACAGAGCAAATATATAGCATCAGAAAGGAATATAGGATTAGCTATCTTCTAATAATTTTAGAGGTACTGTAACCATATTTTTGTTGCCTTATTAGGTAAATAAGCTAATAAAGGAAGAACTTCAAAATCAAGTGGAACTGTTAAATTCTTTTGAGAAAAAATATAGCGATCCTGGCCCAGTGTATGATTGTCTAGTATGGAATGATGGTGAGACTTGGAGGTAAGTGCCTAAACTTACATAAAATATCTTGTTCTACACATAAAACAACAGCTTGTACGGAAGACTGTGTTAACTTTTAAATCTACCCTCTGTATAGGGGTCTTAAACATTATTCGCTTTAAAAATAATCCTGCTATATCACTTCAATTTCATGACAAAGTTTCGATCCTAAATGAAGATGAGGTAGAATGAAGTCTTATTGGATAGAAAGTGTAAGCTTGTGGGATTTTCCTCTGAGGCATGGTAAAATTGCTTTGAGTATCCATTGGTGATAGAAGAAAGGCTTGGGAGGGGGGAGGGGGGGGAACCAAACAAACCAACCCAGAACAGAAGTCTTTGCACAAACTTCAGGATATAATATGGCACTTTTCTTGACTGATAATTTGCATCATACAAAACAGTGGGTAAGGCTTCAAATGTTTGTGTACCAGCACAGAACAGCTAGCTTTAGTAAAATTTTTTTCCTTGAAGAAATTGCCAGAATTTCCATATGCTTGCTTTTCAAAGACAGATTTATTGGAATTTAGTAGCATTTGAAAAACAGTTTATTTGGAGATCTTTATCGTTTCTGAATCAAAATGAAAACAACCAGGTTTAAAAATATTGACTTAAATATGTAAGATACCATAAACACAGATCCAGATTTCTTGAAGTCTTTGTGGTACTCTTTGGGAAGGAAGAGAGGAAGATAACAAAGTTTACAGCATCTCGAAAATTGCCTTTTTTGTTTTTGTCAACAGAGCCTGCATAGATACAAGTGAGAGTGGCGACTTAACTAGCTGTACAGTGCTGAGAACCTATAAAGAGGCTCAGGAATATGGATCTTTTGGAACATCTGAGATGTTGAATTATTCTGTGAATATATACGATGATGGAAACCTTCTTTCTATTGTGACAAGTGGAGGTAAATGCAAGTAATCTTAAGAAGATTTTGCTGCTGAGTAGGTATCATGAGAAGCAGCAATTTGTATTGGGTCCTGATTCTGATACTTGGGATGAATCAGTGCAGCTGTTTTAATACAGCGTTCGTTACTATGATGATCAAGATCAATATTCCGATTTCCTGAACTAAACCTATAATAACAGCTCGTTACCAATCTTGCTTGCGTTTTTTTCTGAAATAATGTCAGCTTTGTGTTCATATGCATGTACACATAGAGTGTATACTTAGGTACTCTTTAACATGTTCCTGCATCTTAAAGCCTAAAACAGAGAGAACCTTCTTTCAAAATACCAATTTTATTTTGTTTCTTAATGTAGAGTGTTGATTGATTTTATTTTTTTTTAGTTGCTGTCCTTTATGCTTGTGCAATTTAAAAATCTTAAATATGACATCTATGAGAAAAAGGGATATTAATCTTTATTTTGGTTTATTTGAACTCTTTTGTGATGGAGGTGTCACTAGCTGTAGCTCCAATCACTCTGACTCCATATTTTTGTATTCTTTCTTATAATGATGTTTTGTTTTGGAAGCATCCTGAGTGGTTAAGGTGGTATGGATGTATTTTTGTTTTGGAAAATGCTCTTAATTTCTCATGAAACTATCACGTCTCTAGACTACAGAAGCAGTTCTGCTTTCTAAATCAATGGTAATTTTTTTGAGAGATTCCTTTTTATATTTCTGAGCAGCTTTATTTCTGTGTTTTTTCTTAATTCCCTCTGAATCATCTCAGGTATAATTCTCATAACTTTGAGTAGGAAGTGTTGAGCCTTCTGAGTAACTTTTTTTAGTGGAATTAAGCTAGTCCTTCCTTTCTGTCCACCTGCTGCCTCCTTTCTCCTCTCAGAAAGCTGTATTTTCGTTTTGCAGATTACTACTGTTTACTGGCTTTTTTTTTTCTTAGTATAATATGACATCTATTAAGTAAAGTGATTTAACCCTGGGCTCATTTTGTAGAATCACAGGATCATTTACATTGGAAAAGACCCTTAAGATCATCAAGTCCAACCATTAACCTAACGCTGCTAAGTCTGCTGCTAAACCATATCCCTAAATGCCACATCTTTTACAAGCCTCCACAGATAGTGACTCAACCGCTTCCCTGGGCAGCCTGTTCCAATGCTTGACAGCCCTTTCAGTGTAGAAATTTTTCCTCATATCCAATCTAAACCTCTCCTGGTGCAACTCGAGGCCATTTTCTCTTGTCTTATTGTTTGTTACTTGGGAGAAGAGACCAACACCCACCTCGCTACAGCCTCCTTTCAAGTAGTTGCAAACAGCGATAGGGTCTCCCCTCAGCCTTTTCTCCAGGCTAAACAACTCCACTTCCCTTAGCCACTCCTCACAGGACTTGTGCTCCAGACCCTTCACCAGCTTCATTGCTCCTCTCTGGGCACGCTCCAACACCTCAATGTCTTTCTTGTATGAGAGGCACAAAACCAAACAGTATTTGAGGTGCCGCCTCACCAGTGCCCAGTACAGGGGGATGATCACTTCCCTTGACCTGCTGGCCATGCTATTTCTAATACAAGCCAGGATGCTGTTGGCCTTCTTGGCCACCTGGACACACTGCTGGCTCATATTCAGCTGGCTATTGACCAATATGTTCAGGTCATTTTCTGCCGGGCAGCTTTTCAGCCACAATTCCCCAAGCCTGTAGCATTGCATGGGGTTGTTGTGACCCAAGTGCAGGACCAGCACTCAGTCCTGTTGAACCTCATACAATTGGCCTCGGCCCATTGATCCAGCCTGTCTAGATCCTGCTGTAGAGCCTTCCTTCCCTCAAGCAGATCAACACTCCCACCCAACTTGGTGTCATCTGCAAACTTACTGAGGTTGCACTCGATCCCTTAGTCCAGATCATCAATAAAAATGTTAAGCAAAACTTATCCCAGTACTCAGCACTGGGGAACACCACTTGTGACAGACTGCTAACTGGATTTATATACTTACAGCTCAATAAGTTAAAATTAATTGAGCTGTATAAATGAAGTTCACTAAACATGCAGTGATACAACTTTTGATTTGCTCAGGAGCACATGGAACACACGTGGCTAGTATTGCAGCTGGATACTTTCCAGAAGAACCAGAACGAAATGGTGTGGCTCCTGGAGCTCAGATTCTTGCAATCAAGATCGGCGATACGAGACTAAGTACAATGGAAACTGGCACCGGTCTAATAAGAGCTGTGAGTATCTCACTGAATAAATGGTTAATCTCCACAGTGTGACTTAGTTGTAGAATATTATGAAACACTTCCTGCTCTACTTGCTTATAGGACATGTTTTTATAGTTCTAGAATATTTCCAACAGCGCAAAAAAAAAAACAACCCACCAAACAACAAAACAACCAAATGCCCCTGCAAAAAAAAAATCTCAAACAAAAAAATAACCCCGCAAAACCAACCAGAACATATTTTAAAACATATCTTAAGACTGGTGTTTTTGATATCAAACAAGGCTTCTGTTGCATAGAGCACTTACAGGGTGTTTCTGACTGATAGAGTTGCAGTGTGTTTGGCTAGCTTGACACGTAGGCTAAATTACTTGCATGCCTATTTAAAATTCTTATTCTGTGTTGTGAGTGTATTTTTTTTTATAGATACTTAGATTATTCTAGACTATTTAAATACTTAAGTATTCTATAGTTGAGACTAGTATCTTCCCATGTGGCTGAATTTTTTTTCACTCTGTTTCTTTGAAGTGAGGAAAAATATCACTCCTTTTTAATGACGAAAGCCCTGAGACCTTTTTCATGTAGTGAGTTGATGGGGAAAAATTTTATACAAGAACAGGAACAGAGAATAGAAAATTTCATATGTGGCCCATAGAATATCTTACTGTAGCAACACGAATATGGACAATAATGTTTTTGTGACTTTTTGGAATTTAACCAAACTGCTTAGGAAAGGAGAATTCTATGTTATTGAGGACAGGCATTTGAGACAATAATAACGATGTCTGCAGTTTTCTCTTAGGGTAATGTCTTAATTTATAGCTTAGAACATGGCAAGAATAAGACTGTTCAGGGAGTGTTATTTTTTTATTCTGTTTGTTCACTGGGAAAATATCACTTAAATAATTGATTGAAGTAAATTAAATAATTTTATTTTGTAGAGTCAAATTTATCCCCTTTTCTTAGATCTGTAGCAGATCAATTTAAGCAGATGTTTTTTGCCATTCTTTAAGTGACTTATTCTATGGCTAATATGTATTTTGGCTCTTATTTTTACTTTATCAGATGATAGAAGCAATAAAATACAAATGTGATCTTGTCAACTATAGCTATGGAGAGGCAACACATTGGCCAAATTCTGGGTGAGTACTACTGTGGTTAATATTAAGTATTTTAATATCGCAGAAGTGGAATTATGTTGTTTGAGCTTTGCGTGAATGAACTGTCAGTAAGAATGAATCGTTCAGGCCCAAATGATTCATATACATTAAACTGTTGCAGTTTACTTTTTTTACTGTCTTTGAAAGTTAGGTAGACCTATCAAAGTGCTATCGATTTATAATACAAAGAATATTTTAGAATAATAAAGAATTTTTGTATTTGGAACACTATATAATCTGTGGGGGTGTTTTAAGTCCTAATATTACTACATAACTGTTACTGCTTTTTAAAACTAGGTGATGTTTTTCATGGTCAGCTTCTGTATTGAAACCGCCTCTGCTAGGTGTGGGAAGCAGGCTGTATAGTATTCCTTATTCTGTGACTGGTCACAGAGATTCTGCTAGGAATGGGAGTTTTGCCCTGTGGGGAAAAAAGCAATATTGTTGATTAAATAACTACTTTTTTTCTCTCTTACATCAGGAGAATTTGTGAAGTAATTAATGAAGCAGTGTGGAAACACAACGTAATCTATGTTTCGAGTGCAGGAAACAATGGCCCTTGCCTCTCTACAGTAGGATGTCCTGGTGGGACTACATCTAGTGTAATAGGTAAACAATTTCTTTTGAAAAAACACTTTGACAGTATTCAGCTTCTGTCTTTTCAAGCTTTTTACTTGTGTTACATGTTTGAGATCACTGATTGCTGATCTAAATGTAAAAAAATATGAAAGACTACTGGGCTAGAAGACTAATTCTGAGAGGCAATTGCTATATGCTTAGATATAAAAAAATTTAGATTATTATCATCTTACAATTCAAGATCTTACTTATGTAGAAAACAGAGGTAGGAGACGGGTGGTCTTGATTTGATCTGGCTATGTATAAAATTTTCAAAAGAGTCTTTGTGATCTGACCTATTTGAAGATTCCAGGATTATTTTGTAACTGTAACTGCACACCACTTCACTTAGACCATTAGCTGCTGGTAAATGCAACTTGTAAAAAACCATAAGCAAGTCAGATTCTATTTAATCTTCTGGAAAGTCTTATAATGCATTCTGAATTGTCAGAACCAGTTTTAGATCATCTGTCTTCATCAGATACTCTAATTTTTATTTGTAATGAAATAAAGCTTTTTAATTTGCATATAAAATAATCCCATGGCATGACCTAGGCAAGTTCTTCTAGGGGGAGAATTTTGTTGTCTGCAGAGCCACTTCTGTGCAGGTCTATTACTGGCATAAGAATTAGTTGTTCTGGTGGGCTAGTGTATCTTTTTGGTATTTCAGTGAAAGACTGAAGTGTAAGACTTAGCACAATGTCTAGCATTTGGGAATAACTTCCCTAGTCTTAATTTTTATATAAATCCTCTGATGTTGTGTTACTGCATTAGACGAGATACTTGTTAAGTCTCAGAATTCTTATGCAAGGAGACTAGCATTTAGGCTTGAAAGTTTGAGACACACTATTTCAGGACAGCTAGTAGAATTAATGCTGACTACTTTCCAAAAGTTATTCTGCAGTTACTCTACTACTGAGCCTGGGGGTTGAAACTGGAACTAACAGCTCTTTTCAGGTCTGCATTCAGGTCTTTGCTCATGCAGTGCATCTACTCTGTCAATTTAGCTTACATGTTATATCATTCTAGAGACTGGGTCGTCATTCACTCTGCATGCAAAGTAGCTTGCTCCTTGTCCTCTGTCTGGAATGAAACAGATAGGGGTGTGGTTTTTTTTGGTTTTGAGTGTAAAGCAAAATACAATTGTCGGGTTGTCTTAGTTCACACAGACAGTATGAACATGGACCTTGCCAAATTTGTTTGTCAGCTTGGTATGGTAGTTTTCTACCATCCTGATAGTGCTCATTCCATCAAGAAAAGGGGTTGTACACTTTGCAATAGGTACACGGCATGGATGCAATGTGCATCCTTGACATCATGTTCTAAAAACACAACTTTAGGAGGCTTTAACGTAAGCAGTAACATACTCTGGGCACTTTGAACTGGCATACAGGAAAGTAATGACTGTCTCATCGCTGTGTTTGAGCTGTGTGGATGTGGCCATCTGTTCCAGGTGGTGTAGCTGTGAGCCATGTCAGCATGAACCAATTCACACAGATTGTTTTGAGGTATGGTTGGTGTAGTTTGTAACAGTGTAAACGCAGCCAAAGGGATGGCAGGAGACAGTGGAGACATGTAAAAGTGATCTGTTGAGAAAGAATTGTAAAAAGTAAACACATTCTATTCTAGTGGAATGAAAAGGAAACTTTGAAGCTTACATAATATTTTAATATTATACAGTATGACCATCAGCATTGTTAATGCATAGCATGCTGCTTTACACTTGCTTTGTAAAAGTACCTAATTTAATGAGATGGAAAATGTGTGTTTCCATTTTTAAGTGTCAACTAGAAATTCTTCGCATAATGAATTTAAAACAAAGAAATATTTTAATTTTGCTTTTAATAAAAATTCATTGTACATCTAAAATGCTGAATGTTTTTTACAGGTGTTGGTGCCTATGTGTCACCTGACATGATGGTTGCTGAATACTCTTTAAGAGAAAAACTGCCAGCAAATCAATATACTTGGTCATCCAGAGGGCCTAGGTAGGTTATACTAAAAAAACAAATCCACTACTTTGGGGTTCAGATTATGTAATTCAAAATCTAAAAATTAGTCATTAATATCAGAATAAAAGTATTTCTTTCCTATGGGAAGAATGTAGGTAGCCTGCTGTTCTTGGAAGGCCTTTGTATGTCAGGGTCTAAAACTCCTGGGGGAGGAGAAAGACCACTGAACTGCCTCGGCACAACCTGTAGGTTTCAGGAAGGTGTAACTGATGAGTGCAGACCTATTCACAGGTGACAAAAATTGTTGAAAAGCTCTTTGGAAATTTGTTCTTTTTCTGAAATCTGTTTTTGCAGATGATTTTTTTTTTTTCCATAGCATTTATTTCATTGAGTTAGTGTAGTGAAATTAACTGTTCTGTTATTGCTGAAGGTGAACAGAAATACTGCTACTGCAGTGGTATTACTTCTGGATTTAGTGACATTGCTGTGATAGCACAACTTAAGGGTTTTGCTTGAGTCCAGTAGGGATGTAGATAGACAGAAAAAAATGCTTTTCTACCTCATGTTACAGATAATTATCTCAAACGTATATAAAAGAAAATTTTAGAAAAAAAAGAAAGTAAAACTTCAATTTTTATTTCATGTCTAAAAGCATTTGATAGTAACGTGGTAGCCAAAAGAAGAAAAAGAGAATAGCATCTCTTCCTGAGTTTTGCCGGTGCTTAGACTTTAGAATTGTTCTTGCCAGTTGTGGAGTTACGGTATACTGTCTTTTATAGTTTAGCCTACAATATTATAGGGTAAAGGAAAGAATAAAAAAATCATAGCTCAAGGTTGGTACTTGGTTTATTTGCTGGTTACATAGCAAATGCTTCCCTACTAGCATTCGTCTTTAAAGTTAGCTGTCATGGTGTTTGTATCTTTACAGGCAAGTATATTGTTCCAAGAACATTTTTATGTGGAATTGTCATCTTTCATGTAGGGAAAAGAGAAATAAATTCTCTGCCTTCAGCTGAGAAAGGGAGAAAGATTTATAATTAATATTGATATACATACATATATACACACATATATATAAAAACTATATTTTGTGTGCTTTGTCACTTAGAGATGTAAAATATAATGAGTACTTTCAGCTGAAAGGTTCAAGTGTGGCTAAAGGGGGATTCCTCTTGTGTAGGGTGCAACAAGCAAGTGACTGGAGAGTTCCTGAAGTTTTTGCAGGAGCAGGCTTGGGAATGGGAGGTCCATCTGTCTGAGTAAGCACTAGAAGCTTTCAGGCAGATAGACTGTGCGCTGCTTGGCCAGAAGTGTCATGAGACAGAACCTGGGGCTGTCATAAAATATGTCCAAAAGTTACATTACAGTATCATACTGAGAGTACTCTGATTTGAGACAGATTTTAGACATACGAAGCTATTAGTGTGAGATGTAAATATCCTAAAATACCCTGCTTCTCCACAGAACTTAATCACTCAGGCACAACGGGGATCTTATTCAGGTAGTGCAGTTTTTGTCTATCCAGACTGAGGAAAGTGGAGTATATTGGGCTTATACAGTTGAAAACTAGATGCTGCTTTAACTGTGCCATAGATGCTTACTCTGTTCTTTAATATGCTTGGGAAAAAAAGAAAAGTGGTTTAGGCCCAGTTGATTCTGATCCATCTCTTGACATGCCTTTTTTTGTCTTCTCCCCTTGCCCTCTTTGTCTCAGATTCTGTATTGTAATTCAGAATTTGACATGATAATGAAGTGACAACATGGAAAATTAGAGATCTGGATTTTGTATCTCTTCTAGTCTTCTGTTTCCTTTTACTATTTTCCTTTAAAAAATAATAACTGTTAAATAGACCATGCAGAATACTGATTTGTGTATTGAAGTATTTAATAGGTTTGTTTGCATGCATTTTCTGATTCAAATCCCAGAAGATATTCTCTTGACTAAACTGAAGCCTGGTGAAGAGTATCGAAGGAGTGAAAGTTTAGAAAACTTTCGCTGTAAAACAGGTGCAGCTGATGATCAATGTGATGTTTTAAATTGCTACTCAGTGGGATGCTTTTTAGGGGGTTTAAGGAGTTAATGGATTTAGTGGAGCAGTATACTTGTAAATGTTCCCTAAAGCTAAATTTTTTTTAAGTGCACGAATAACTTAAAGTGTGCAGAAAAAAATGTTTCTTTTTCAACCATACTGTTTTAACACTAGCACTGATGGAGCCCTTGGAGTCAGCATCAGTGCCCCAGGAGGTGCTATTGCTTCTGTTCCAAACTGGACTCTGCGAGGAACACAACTCATGAATGGCACTTCCATGTCTTCTCCCAATGCATGTGGAGGCATTGCATTAGTATTGTCAGGTAATGTGTTACAATGTCAAATATAAATACATAGTCTAAAAGATATTAGATACTTTTTCCTCTAAAAAAAAACCACCTCTAACTTTCAGATTTTTTTGTTATGTCCAATAATACTCTTATTTTTAATTTCAGGACTCAAAGCTAATGATATTCATTACACTGTTCATTCTGTCAGAAGAGCTTTAGAAAACACTGCAGTGAAAGCTGAAAACATAGAAGTATTTGCACAAGGACATGGTATTATTCAGGTATTTGCTAGCAAAAAAACCCCCAACAAAATAACTGCCAGTGGAAAACTAACTCACAAAAATGAGCAGCTTTCTAGATGATTCTTGATTCTCAGATCTGATCAAGGGAGAAGAAGGGAATGTAGTGGGAGGGGAGGAGGAATGAGATGGTTCTTTCAGTTTCAGAATGTGGTTACTGTAGAATAAATGTGTTAACTAGACACATTCTTAAGCTGAAGAAAAATATATGTGGACATAAAAGTGGGATGTGGGTTTTTATCACCCACATATGGATTTGGATGCCTAAATTCTGTCTTAATGTTCAAAAATGTTTTTATGCTATTGTCAGAGAGAAATGAACTTGTTCTGTGTAGACAAAAGCTGGATCTGTAAGTTCTGGGCAGTGAAAACACAGATACCCACGCTGATTCACAAAGCAGTACAGCTGCAGTTGTGTGATGATTTTGCTCTGGGCCTGCATTGAAAAGTCTGAGTGTTCAGTGTATCCTGTGGACTTCTAAGTAGCTTGGAAATCTGAGATATTATCCTTTGTATGATGAAGGCATACTGAATGACAGTCTTTCTGTGCATAAGCTTAGGTTCTTTAAGAGCTGTTGCTGGGTTTTTTTGTTTGGTTGTGTTTTTTTTTTCCTGCAGTCACTCCCATCCTAGCCAAATAGAGGTACTGAGATTTTGCTCTCATGCTTAAAGATGCTAGATGTTAAATGCTTAGTCCTAAACTTCACATTCTGGAGGTGCTAGAACCTAGTACCTAACATCCATTAAGCACGTCTGTAACACTGAGTTTGATACAGAAGGCAACAATAGTGGTAGCCATATCAAAAAAAACATTGCCACAGAAAAATGAAATGCACCAGTCATCTTGTGATTTGATAGTCTGTGATTAAAGCCTGTGTTAACACATGTGGTTGAAACGCTGATCTGGGAGATCAAGGCTGTGATATGTCCAGTTCTCCCAAAGGAGAGTGCCGTAATCTCTGCTGCTGAAGATGTCTCATTGTGAAGTAGAAGAGAATGTAGGATTTTGGAATCAGTGGAATAGAAAACAAGATGAAAGAGTGCCTTTTTGAAACAAAAAGGTGAACTTGTCATCTGAGTTTACTGTGACAGCTTATTTGCTTAAATAAGCAAATAAGGCTCTGGCCAACCTGTGCCAGTGCCTCACAACTCTCACAGTGAAGAATTCTAGGGCTGGATTTCATGACCTGGTTCTCTTATTTCATATCAATATTTAAAACTTCTATGGGCATCTCATATTGCCTGTCTCTTATGAGCTACTGGACTTCTTGTATTGTATAAAAGGTTTAAATGTGTAACTAATGTTGCTCCACATATGAAAAAGGCATCTAAATTAATGTAGTAGTTCTGGGCCTTTGGAGTCCTCTTTGTCTTTGAAGTTATAAAATCATAGAATGATTTGGATTGGAAGGGACCTTAAAGATTACGTAGTTCCAGCCCCGCTGCCATGGGCAGGGACACTTTGCCCTAGATCAGGTTGCTGAAAGACCCATCCAGTCTGGCCTTGAACACTTCCCAG